GTATTCTTTAATTCGCTTTCAAGATATTTGATTATATTGTGCTAGAATTATTTGGCACGACTTTCATTGTTATATATATATAAGGATTTTAAAAAAAATATGAGCACGAAATGATTGAGATCCTCCGTCATAAAGATGAAACTTGGAGTAACAAAAATAAGAAAGTTTTCTTCAGAGAAATAATTATAATTGTGATTATAACAGACATCGTTAAGTTGAGGATGCCGAATTTTGATGGTTAAAATATGATATGATAAATACTCGAGGACAAATAACTTAGTCATACATAATGTAAATCTTATACCGTTAGGCGGTATAAATGCAGAATCAACTTACAGGTAATTGACACTAATTACAATAGTTAATAATGAAAAGAATAAAAAATATTTCACTAAAAAACAATATGAAATAATGTTTTCCTCTACTGTCGTGAAACTCGTGCAAACGCATTTTAAACGAATTCCTTCCCTCGATTGCGCTTAGACGCGTTTAATAATTACGAGCTTGCGTAACTCTCGACTTCAGACGCGTCTAAATTGCAGTATTAGTTTAAACACGTTCGGACGCATCTAGATGCATTTATCAAACTCGCTGGGACGCGTTTCTTCACTATGTTCTTTAGGAAACGCGTCGCAACGTATTTAAAAACGCATTAATATGCGTTTACTCTGCGTTTGATAATTACATGGGTTGAATCATCCAAAGAAAAAGTCAAAACTTCAATTGGATAGGTCTATATATTATTCTTTTCTGTCATTTCATCCAATACTGAGATAAAAAAAATACAAATTCTACTTACTGCTCAATCATACCAGTAAAACAATAAGCAGGACAATGGTTGAGATTTCTCTAATTATAACTGTATACTCCAAGATGCAATGCCTTGTCATGAAATTTATTAAAAAATATAAACAAGATTTTTTATGTCATCAAATGTTCATTTACTCGGCTTTCGACCAAACGAAATCATAAGAAAAGGATTATAATTTAAGAAGAAATACTTCATACTTGCATATCAACAAGTTCATCATGAAATAGTATTATTAATAGAACTTTTACATTAGCTATTCAGATGAAATAATCAAATCAAATATTAAAGACAAACAATTGCTCATTGCAGCTGAATCATATTTTTCATTCATAAACGATTCGTTCAATAGGACAAACAATGGATCCCATATAAGTATCAAAATGTCCAACAGCTATAAAGTAAGCACACTTTAATACGAAATACTCTCTCTTATAAAATCATAATCTATTATCTTGATATACTTTGAAAAGTTCATTTTTTTTGTTATTTATTGTCTATAAATAATTAAATCTTTCTAAAAATAAAAGAAAGCAAAGAATTAATTTATAACTGAGGTGATTTATTTTTACCCATATGCACTCAAGATCTAGAATATCTTTCCGAGTAATGCCAGGTAAAAATTCAATCAAAGGCAGTGTAACTAATTCAATACCACCCGTTTTCTTTTTCAAATACATAAACACATTCATTGTACCAATGTCTACTATATCTCGTTCGCTATCATGAAGCTATAACACTTGCTGACATTCTTTTGTTTGATCTAATTTATTCACATGAATAGTTAGCTCATAATATCTATAAAATAACATTAATGTTGAAAAGCAGCAGATTAAATTTTCTATAATCCAGATTTATATTTACTCCCTTCACCTTGACATGTTCGACAGGGAACTGTATTAATTGATAATAAAACAATTATAAAATCAGTTAGGGAATAAAGATAAATAGAAGCAGCAATGACAAATAATAATGATTCATTCGGAGCACCAACACCTAATCTTGGCTAAAAGAAATATTTATATTGAATCTTTCTAAACAATTTTCAAATATACTGCAGTGCTAATTAATATGATTCGTATCACGAGCGAGCTTGATTTTGATATTGGCGCCTAATCAGCGTTAAATAGAATTAATTGTTTTAAAATGCATGATTATAGTTTATTTTCATTGAATGTCTATTAATATTTTAAATGTTATCTCTTATGCGTAAACCGTTTCGTTCAGTACATGTAAGTATATGTTTCATATTTTGGAAACAAGTCCAAAACACGTCTTTTTTATTACTAGATCTCAATCTATATTCACACTTTAAAAAAATTTTCAGAAGCAAAATGGAATGAAAATTCTGTAAATGAATGCATATACTTTCTTCAATTGCGTTCTTTGCACGCTTCGTAGCGACCTAACTGTGAGATGTACGTAGGGGACCATTTAGAAAACAGAATTTTTCTAGAATTTCTAGAATAATATAGGAAATTTATAAGATCAATTTCTTCATCAAAAAACTTAAACAGCACATTGACTGATGTTGTAAAAGTTAGAATGAGAAATTTTACGACAAAAGCACAGCAAATTTTGACAAAATAATTTATGTAAGGTGCACCAAAGTCAAAAATCGAGCAGAAACAAAAAAAATCCTTTTATTATTACATGGTTGGATAGAGCCGGATGAGTAGATCATGAATATCACCTTTTAAATGATT